TGGAGATCGCCATGAAGGCGGGTCTCATCTCGGACGAGCCAGTTCAGGTGGCGTTTGCCCTGTCCAACCTTAGTGGACGTGCCAAGTACTAGGCATACACCAGGGAGACGACACCTCCTGGATGCTTTCCACCCTGGGCTCAGCTGTGTGAGCAGCTTCGAGCCGCATTCCTACCGGCGAGCAATGTGTTCCGCCAGCGCTCACGCTTTCTCGCGTGTAAGCAACGTAAACGTGAGCTGCAGGAGTACGCGCGAGAGATGCGCACGTTGGTGGCATCTCTGGCAGGGATACCGCTGACTGAAGACGCCAAGACAACAGTCTTCATGGACGGCCTGAAGTTCGGTCCTGCTCGCACCCAGCTATTCCGGGTGCAAGCGACAACTATGGAGGAGGCGATTCGAATCGCTCTCCAAGAAGAGTACAGCCACAAGCAGGCTGGTACTCCTCGGGAAGAGGAACATCGTTACGATGAGAATGGCGTTCCTCGGGAGGCGGAGCATCGCAGCAATGACGCTGTTGCTCCTGCTGTCACGCAGCCCGTTGATACCGGTGCGTACAGCGAGCCCGAACCCATGGACTTAAACGCAGCCGAGAGCTTGGTCCGCTGCTATGGATGCATGGACACTACCAGCGTGTGTGTCCCTCGCCAGTCCTCGGGAAGAAGACAGCCCGTGGACCCCAGGTCCGGTAGCACAAGCCACGGCCAGGTGGACGAAAACTCCCCGGCCACCAGTAGAGGCAGTATGCCCTACAGAAGAGCGCTAAGCCTTCGTGATGGCTGTGCAGGTTGTGCGCACTCACTTAGCCCAGAGAGACGTTGTTCTCTCAAACCGGTGAAGGGCAGTGATGGGCTGCTAGTAGTACGCTCGGTGTACGAGGGTACGGTACCCCTTGAAGTTTTGATGGGTTCTGGGGCGTTGATACGCCGCCGAGACGTCGCTTGGCATAGCGACACCCGACTGAACTCTATGTCAGAGTGGCGATCGTGAGCTGGTCCTTGGTGGACTAGCCTTTGGTACGGTGAAGGAAGTACCAATGGTCCTTAACGGGCCTGAACGTTTGGGTTCGATGAACTCGCGCACCGCGGTGTCGCTCGCAGCTCTCGCCATGAGCAACATGACTGCGCCGAACATTAGGCACAGCCCGGACTTTGGTGTGGCAAGGCTGAGAAGGGCCTAACAGTTCAGGTCTATGGAGGATCATTGGTCAGTCATGTTCCTACCTCCGTCATGGCTTAGGCGTCTGATACAGACCGCCAGGACGCCGAAACATCACGGAGCTGTCAGCGCGCTGACAGTTCTGCGTACAGCAAGACCATGCTCCGCTGCACATGGGTCTTTTGCCCGGCGTGTGGACCTGCTACACCAGCAGCGTTTAACGCCGAAGGTAGTCGCGCCGTACGGACTTCGACAGTGGTTATGCCTTTAAGCGCTAGCCAGGTAGGTAACTTAGGACCACACGGTCGCCCAGACCTTAACTGAAGAGGAAGACGCTGAATGCGCTTCCTGTGTGGTTAACACGGGCCCACACACGGTCGCCCAGACTATTACTGAAGAGGATGGCACTGATCATGCTTCCTGGGTGGGGAACACAGTACCACACGCAGTCGCCCAGACTATAACGGAAGCGAGAGGGATTGTCCATGCTTCCTGTGTGGGTGACACAGTGCCACACGAGGTCTCGAGTGCCTCTGATGTCGTCAACGAGACATCACGACGTGGGTAACGAAGTGCCACGTCACGTTAACCGCCGCAAGTCGGGTCTCAACCTTGTTCAGGCCGACGTCGGCTCAAGCGACTCGGCGTCCAGAGCCCGGACTCCTCTGACTCGGTCGGTGGACACCAACTCTGTCCGGTGTGTGTGCGGGTCTGCCACGCCAGCTGATCCCAACACCGAAGGTCGTCGCGCCGTATGCGCTTCGACAGTGGTGGTGCTGAAGGGCATTCACCAGGTGGGTAACATAGGTGAAAATTGCGGGTAACATGTTCCGCAAGCAGCGAAGCTGCTTAAGGAGACCGACAGTCAGTTCTCCGAGCGTGGGTAACAAAGTTCCACGCAAGGTCACTCAGATCATAACTGATAAGGAAGTCGCTGTATGCGCTTCCGGTGTGGGTAACAGAGCTCCACACAACCAAGGTGGGTAACAGAGTTCCACACCCAAGGCGGGTAACATATCTCCGCTCACAGAGCCATTGGCTCGAGGCGCGAGGTTGTCTTGGCCTCGCCAGACGTGAGCAAATCGCTCGACGTCAAGTCGCGCAGACTCCAACTGCTGACGCGAGGGCTGGATGTCTTCGGTCGTCACGGCCGACGCAGTGCATGGAACGGAGAGCCGTCGCGCCTGCCAGTGGCTATCAGAAGCCACGAGAGACTCAGTAGTCTCGAGGTTAAGTGGGGGAGAGGCTCGGAAATACCTTTCCTCCCTGACTTTCCAAGAGGCAGGAGCCGTCGTGCCGCCAGTGGCTATCACAAGCCATGAGAAACGCAATGGTCTCAAGTGTAAGTGGGGGAGAGGCTCGGAAATACCTTTCCTACCTGGTCTTGAGGTAAGACCAAGTTCCTTACGGAACCAGGCGTCGATGTACATCGACTGCAGGCTGGAAGCGAACAGCCGGGCTAGAGCTGCGGTAGCTCTAGCCGAACAAGACATAGTGGCGAAGAAAGCCACTGGCGCTAGGTGCCCTGGAATCGCTTAGCGAAATAGCAGTGTTGGGGTTGCAAGAAACCACACACGAGGCGAAGCGCGAACCTAGTGCAGTCACCGCACCGGGCCCTTGGTCATGAACGACCAGTCGAGTAGGGTGAACGGAACGTCTCACCCGCCGACAAAGCGGTTGCCGTACGTGATGTACGCAGCGCGTTGGGAAAAATGGGCCGTGAAGCCATAACCCAAGTGTAGTGCACGAGTGCACACACAACTGACCAGGTGGTGGTCGAGGCAACGCACGCAGTCGTAGCTGGTGCCGCGCCGAGCATGACCGTGGTGATGGCTGCTTGCCTCACCATGGTTTGGTACCCGTGCGTAGTCGGTGCCAATGCCAGACACCAACACCGCAGTGGCATGGTGGTGAGATATGCCCCACCACGGTCGAGTACCATCAACGTACATGATGTCTGTGACAGACACTGATATAGGTGCAAAGGATATGCACCATACCACGACCCGATGCGCGATGGGCGTATAAGCTGTGAGTCAACGCACGTACCGTGCATCGGCACTGGCTGCTGTCGAGCAGCCTGCCAGGAGTTCCACGCAATGAACTCGTCGTGCATGACACACATGACGTGCACGGAGCACTTATGGTAGCTGTGGTACGTGTCGTACACAGCGTACCTCGTGTACGGGCCCATGGACCTGTACACTGTGCTTGCACATGCGTCGTGCATGATGCGAGCACTGGCCACGAATCTGTTCAGGCGACAGCACAGCAGAAGCTGTTGCCGCCAAACATGGCAGCCTTGTGGTGGGCGTACTGCACCAAAGGGTAGTACCGTACGGTACATGGTCTCGATGGGAGACACCTACACCACGGCTGTGTACCGTCACGGTACACGGTGTCGATGAAGGACACCTACGCGTCGTTGGTATGGTGACCAAGACGCGAAGAGAGCGTGGTAGAAGCCCTGCCCGCAAGGATGGATCCTTGCTGGAGCCAAAGGCATGGCCCGAGGTGAGCTGAGAGCTCCCGTCTAGTGCTAGGGATGGTGTTGCACTTCTCGGTGTCGTCCCTCTCAGGAGCCACCATGCTCTGGACGCGTTCGCGAGGACTGTCGTGTCCTCTGGTGCGAACTGTGGGCGAATGCCACACGTTCGGATGCTATTGCACCCTGTGCCAAAGCACTGTACGCGCGCTAGCGCAGGAGCTATTAATAATGCAGCTCTGAGTGTAGGCTTTGCGGCCAAAACAGCTGTGAGCATAGGGATGCAAATCCCAGTGAGCTTTGGGAGCATAAGTCACTGTGGGTGTGACTGAGAGCCGCGCAAGTCTCGTGGCTGCTCAGTGTGAGAATTCACCTTTTGGTGTTTTAATTCTCTCACTTCTGATTGGAGAAATAGTTGTGATTGGAGAATCAGGTGATACTCATTTAAGTGGGGGAGGATGTAACGGGGTACAATCCTGCCCCAGGTTACATAAAAAGTGACCCGTCACTCTTGTGGACACCTGGTACCGTGTACCAGTTGTCCACAAGAGTTGGAGGAAAATGCTTCCCATTTGACACATGGAGTGGGGAACTTGAACAGATGAAGGTTTTTTTTCAATCCCTTAATTGGCAGACAACACCATCGCACATTGGATGTGGCTTCGGTTTTTTAAAAAAACAAAAAACAAAAAAAAGTCTCGTTTGATAATATCAGCTGCACAGCACTTTGACAAAGCTGCCAAGCATAAACTGCTTCCCAACTCGACCCAAGATTCGAATAGTTGCCAGTGACTATGTAATGCCTGGTGGTTGTATCCTCCGCATCTCTGCTAACGCTAATGACGCCAATGTGTTTATTGCTGTACCACCCGAGCAAAAACTGCAGACGATGGCGATGGCATAGTATCCAACTGAGTCGAGAGGCGAACCTGGCGGTTCTTGATAAGTCCTCGTGATACCTGATACGATCTCGACCAAATCGCACGCCGCTCGAATCCTCATGGATCCGAGCGGCGTCGAAGGCTCCAGCTCGAAACCAGACGCAATAGCTCCAGCTGAGTTAAATTGCGGGAGTGGCAGTAGCTCGACTCCAGTAAGCAGAGCCAAGCGCAAGACGAAGCGGTTGCTTTGGACGGAAGACCTTCATCTGCGCTTCGTGTCTGCAGTGTTTGAATGTGCGTCCATGGCTTTTAGTGTCCCAGTGGATGGTTGAGAGGTGACGACCTATGAATGTTCTACAGTGGGGGTCAAGAATGCGTCACCGAAAGCGCTTCTTGTCGTACGTAGTTGTCTATCTACTCAGGTGTCCAATTATTCAGTTGTCGATAAGTTCTGTCGTCGTACTATTAAACTAGTTAATGGAGAGCAAGAACCCGACTGAGGGCCTGACGACGGATCACATCAAGTCGCACCTGCAGAAGTATCGGATTAGCTACGAGCGATCGAAGCTCGAGGCGCAGCGACTCAATGAGAAACATGCCAAACGGAGCTTAAAGCGTCATCATCGTCATACGCCACATCTAAGGACTGACGCCGAAGAAAGCGTTGGAAGTAAGACAGTTGCCCACCAATGGTCAATTGAGACCGTAGGGCCCCTACTAGGGGAGGCATCGGAGCAGCATATGCACTTGACTATGCAACAAAGGATGAAGTTCCATCGCGAGTTGCTGCTCACACGCAGTGTCGAGGTCGAGTCTGGTCTTTCGTGGGTCAACCGAATGGGCAATGTGGACACTCTCAGTAAAAGTGAGGCCAATGGCAACTTCAATGACCAGCACGAGTCGAGCTTCCTGCAAGCTTGGGCCAATGCAGAGCAACTACGGCAGCAACAGGAGCAAGTCTACGGCCGTCTGCATGAACAGCAACAAAGTCTCTTCCATCAGCCACAAGACGCAGCACCCGTCGCACCAGTTTTTGTTATCGGTTCGAAGCCAGAACCTGCACAAACTGCTGAATACGAACACACGGGAACTGACGACGGTGTGGACCTCACCAGCTGGGGTCGACTCAGTCTGACCGTAGACTCTGACGACGACGACGTCTTCGGCTTCCTCCGATCCGAGGCGTAGTGATGACGCGCAGGACTCAGTCATCATGGCGCTGGGACCAATTGATATTGAGATAGAATCACACTCACACAAATTGGTATACTTAGGTATACATTTTACGTTTTGAGGAACTCAAATAACTCGTCGCAACGTTGAAGGCGTCGATACGGTTGCCACTGCCTCACTATTAATAGCATCGGGAATCAGCAGATCTTCAAGTGAGCGAGCGACCAGCGACGGAAGCGAGGAGGTTTGCCATTGGGTGGCGAGGATTTTCTGGTACTGGGGACGGTCTTTGCTGTTGTGGGATCCCAAATTGATTAATCTGCTGCTGTAAGCGGTGCGATGCCAATTGACGCTGGTGTATTTGCTGCGTATTGGTCCACGCCTGTTGGAAGGCGCTTCGCTCGTTCTGCACTTGATAGTTACCACTCCAGGTCTCCAAACCATCACACTGATGCAAGTCGTTCGATAGTTGGACCTTACGCGCCAGCATCTCTCGGTGGAAATTCATTTGCGCTTGCATAGCTTGATACATCTGCAAATGAAGATTGTCTTGCGCTTGAGTTAGCGACGATAGTGGTGCCTCAGTTGGGATCTGAATCGACAGGGTGTCGTCTAGAGGAGGTGCCATCATGAGCGTACTGAACATACGCCATTGAGCGTCATTGAGCTCGGGCATAGCAGAAGAAACTGGGGCCACAACAGGAGTTTGCTGATACTCAGCGGGGATCGAAGCGACATCAACACGCGCGGGGTTGACAGAAAACGGTTTAGTGCGTGAGTATCCGTCGCCCTCTGAGTAGCTGTCACAGTGATCAGGATCGCCTACATTCGAGCCGTGCTCCTCCTTTCGGCGACGTCGCTTGACTTCACGGTGACAGAGCTCGCGGAACTCTTGACGTGAGCGCTCGTAGTTGATTCGGTACTTCTGGAGGTGCGACTTGAGGTGCTCCGTCGTGAGCCCAGAGTCCGGGCCTGACTTGTTTATCAACTGGAGGAGCGACAAGCACATGATTAGTGAAAAATGACGGCATCATTTCGGATCCGTTAAACTTGCAGGTAGAAGCGTCTTCGGAGACGCATTTTTAACCCCTTGAACGCGAAACCCTTTCGACGTTAACGTGTATGTCGGGGAAGGGTTTTAATAGTTAGACTGGTATAAAATTAATCCTGTAGGATGGTTAAACGCATTGAACCCCAACACCTAGGATGGTGAAAATTTGATATCGTGTATCCTACAAGAATATTTGACTTTGAAATACACTATACCAAGATATCGTGTCCAGGAACGTACAAAAACTGCTCACAGCCCAGCGCACTTTTCTCCTAAATATAGACTTCAAGTTCAGGTAAAAAGGGAGATACAGATTTCATACTTTTATCAAGACATTTAAGATCGCAAAACCATCTGCTTATGGTGTCGCAGCGTCGTTGTGACGTCTCTTTGACGGCCTACTGGTGTCATCATCCCCGCTGTCACCACTCGCAGACTTTGCTTCTTCGACACTATCGGCTGCTGGCCTGCGCGCGCGGATCTTTCGCTTTCTCTGTGACGGCGGCAACAGGCTGCCGTTACGCCAATGCTTGTGCCAAATCTCGAAGCACGAAACGGACTCACCGTTGTTTACATGCTTGACCTTGTTGCACAGGTACACACGCGACGCCAGTGGCTGCTTTGAGCTTGTGTGTAGCTTGCAGGTGCTACAGTAGAATGTAGTCTCGCCCCCTCGCGACTCGTCGGAGCCCTTAAGCACCGAGCATACTTTGCATGCTCGTTGACGTCGCTTTCGACCTTTCCCGTTGTTTCCATCCCTCCACTCATCCACCTGCACCGGTACGTGGGTTCGCTGCAATGGCGGAGCGCGTGACTTCTATGGGGTATGCTCCACCGCGCGGAGAGCATCCCAATCCGTCTCCTGCAACTGCGTCAGCTCCAAATGTAGTTGCTTCAGGAACTTGACATGGCTGAGCTTGGGTTTTTCATCAATAGCACGCCGTCGATTGTACACAATAAAAGCATTGACTGTTGCCAGGTCGATGAAGCCCAGAAAAAGCGACTTGTAGTATTTCTTATACTTTAGAGCCAATTGAAGAGAGTACCTGATACAGCATGAATTATACAGGGTTAGCATCAGCACTATCTTGTACATACAGCAGAAATGTACTCACCTTTGGAGGCGAAGTTGATCGTGTACATCAACTCCGCCCATGAAAGTTTGGTAATGTTTCAGCACTCTTGGACATGCCACCTCGACTTGCTCGCCAGACTTCGCTCGTCGAACTACGCGATCTTGCTCAGTACTTCCACCCGCACACAGCAAATGCACAGGACGGTTGTCCCACCAACACACTGCTTTCATACTCGGCACTAATGTTAACTCGGCAACAGCGTAGGTACCGCGGTGTACATCAGCAGGCCGCTTCTTCTTCTTCACGATAATCTCTATGCAAAACCCACGCCGGTTGGTCATCACTGTGCCTATACCGTAGAACCCCATTGCTAGGAGCTGCATGGAGAGTGTCGGTGACGGGTAAAATCGGTCAGTGGCCACTAGACGTTTTTCGATGGTCCCTCTTGCTCCAAAAACTTGCCTCAGGTTGCGAATAACGGCAGCTGGTCCACAGTTGGTGTCCTTCGAAGAGGATGACCTGTCCGTTTGCCGCTTACCACAGTAGACTTCAAATCTGTATCATACACATTTGCATTGTTACATACTTGTATCCTACAGCTTAAGAGAACTTTACGACCAAAAAAAAAGGAGCGTGCCGTGAGGCACGCTCTCAACTCACCTGAGACAGTATGCTGACGTAGAGCAGCACAACATGAAGAGCTTGGTCCCCCATTTATGGAGCTTGTCCTTCATGTAGACTGTCATCCGGTTGAACGTTGATCTTGAAGGCAACATTGCCTCATCAAATGCCATCACTGGAGGCCGTATGTAACCCGCTTTGAACTGTTGTTGGAGCGCGTCGATCACAGGACGCAGCTTCCAGGCACGATCTGTTGCGGCGCGGGGGTCGTTGTTGCTGCTGAAGTGGAGATTTCGAGAGATGTGCATGAAGCGATCCCGCGACATGAAAATCCCGAAGCGTCCACGAGGAATTCCTCCTTCGTCTGTCGTCTTCCAGTGATTCTCCTTTTTTTACTTGTTGAGAGCAACTGCTCGAGCAAATAGAAGCCCAACGAATACGCACAGCTCTCGAGCAGTGATAGGTGGCGTAGAGAGTAATGCAGCCTTGATCGCATCGCGCGTGCTCTTCTTGAATCTAGGAATCTTCTTCTCTCTTTGTTCCTGCTTCGTATACTGTCCTTCAACCCGTTCGTCGATCTTTTCATCAAAGTATTCGTTGCTTGCCTCCGCGATGTCTTCCCACAAGCGAGGCTGCATGAAGTAAAATAGCACCCCAGAAACCGTCGTGGCCGCTTCTAGACTTCTCGGTGTAGGTCCGTAGTGTTCTCGGAACAACTGCGGGTAATCCTATTGCATATTCGCCGTGCGAGGCTCATAAGGCTGGTCGAGATATGGAAATGGACTGTATGATACAGGATTAGACCATCCTTTGCTTGCCATATCCTTCAGGATATCAGCGCTAATCGTGCCGCTTGTAATACTAGCCATACCACCAGCCGCAGTTATAAGATCGTCGTCAAACAATGCTTCTGCTGGATCTTCATCATCTTCTTCCAGCTCGTCTTCGTCTCCGCCTTCAGTTTCATCTCCGAGTGCACTGTCAGCGCCGTCAGAACACCCGTCATCGTTTTCAGCATCGGACACCATGGCTTGGTACTCCTCAGGATCGTCTGCGTCTACAGTAATGTTGATATCTGCTACAGCAAGTATACAATCTACGATCAGTATCCTGTATCACAAGCGTGTACATACGATCTAAAACGCACCATCACAAAACGCAGCAATCCTTGCCGACCGGCGAGGACCCGTAATCTCTTCTTGTCGTACGGTCTCATCAACCTCGTCAAACGCCGGGTCCAGATTGCGTTGAATCTCGGGATCATCTTCCGAGCTTGGCTCATCGTCAGACTGGAGGCTATAAGTCATACGAGCTGACACGTCGGGGTACTCGACTCGTGGGGTTGGAGAGAGATGAGGCGATGTGCAGCGCAACGTCGGTGAAGGCTGGCTGCCATCACTATCACTGCGCGAGACGCCATTAACTTCATCTACAACACAGCAGCAATATACATGTTAGATCGCACGCTAAACGGTATAATACAGGTAAACACAGCATCATACCATTGACTGGCGTTGTTTTTTGGGCAACAACATCATTCGTGTCTCTGCTGTCTTCATTTTGCTGATCACCACCTTCTGTATTGCTCTCCTCGCGTAACGTAACTGCTGTAAGTACCACGTTTGTATTATACATCATTAGCCGGCAGAATATCGTGTATATTCAAGACCAAGCATTACAATACCGCCAAACGTGGCATCGACGTCTTCCTGAGGCTCAACGCATTTAGCAGTCGTAGCAGAGGCTGCTTCTGGTAGTGTAGGCTGCTGTGCTTCTTTGGCAGCTTTCTCTGTTTCAATATAACACGTTAGACTGTCATTATGCGATGCAAAATAGTTCAAGGTCTTACCAAGATCAATGCGGTCTAAGTAGCGCATTAATTCCTCTTCTCCGACGAAAACATCGACGCCACGGGTGTCCTTCTTGGTCTTACCAGGCTTCAAGTATGTGAAGTCAACAGAGAGGCCAGCCGGCCTCTTCGAAGACCAGCCTGCCTTCTTCAGCTCAGCCCAGCGGGCGCGAAAACCTGACATCTCTTGGACTCGGCGCAAATTCTGAAATGAGTGGCGTGTGAGCTATTGACTGTAAGAATTTGTCATACGTAGTCCACACCACACTAAAACCTCTTAGACTCAATTTTTAGAAAATGGAAAGACGCACTTCGAGCGGGAAAAGAGTAGGTGAGACAACCCGGCACCCCGTCCCCTATTTCATTTAAAGTTTGTAAACCTCAATACAAACGTCGAGTCAAAATTTCTTATCGTGTA